TTGCCCTCTACCAGACTCCTGTACCCCACTGGTCTGGGTCTGTCACAACACCCACAGAATTTCAAAAAGCTCAAATATTTAAAATGGCTGGGATAGAAAGGCTTTAAAAATGGGTGTTCTGAGTATTCTTACCTTTCAGGAAGATCTTTAATCTGCAACCCCATTTTATAGATCCATTACACCAAATGTATAAATGGGGATCAGCTAGAAAGTATACAGTGATGGAGTAATAGGAATCGTGCTAAAATAGTGCCAAATCTTATTAGCCAATTGACATGGCAGTAATTTGGTTCTGAAGGATCCTCAGGTGCCAGTATATTATCTTTGCCTGAGAAACGCTCACACCAAACCTGTCGATCTGAACCCCTCTGAACTTAGGTGAGCTCCTGGATGGTTTTCTAAAAGATCTGTTCTAGGAATTATATGGGGGAAGTTCTACGGCCTGTACTGTGCAGGAGGTCGGACTAGATGATCGCAATGGTCCCTTATGGCCTTGGAATCTATGAATATACCTTTGGATTTGGCATTTTGGTTGCACCCATTATAAACACCTGCCAACTTTGGGAGTATGAAATCCAGATCCAAAGTTTGCTATTTGAACCAATTCCTAGTGTTTTCCATTTCCTCTTTTGTTCTTGCTGCCATAAAAACAGGAATTTAAACAACAAAACCAAGTTTTTGTGAAGGGCTTTATCCCTTCTATTGTTATGTGGTGCATGTGTTGTCAAATCTGTTACTTTGCTCATGCCCTGGTGCCTGTGTGGGCATTTGCTGATTGTCTGTCTGAGAAATGAGCCAAAAGCCCTGCACGGACTAAGTTTGATTTTGGAAAAACTTGGGTGGATTCTGGTTTTGCAAACCAAACCTTAGGCTGGTTCAGACTTGGGGGCTTGGAAGCCCCCAAATTCATCATAAATATTTCTTGTCTTGGCCCATCTTTCTTCAGGAACCATCTCTCAGTAGCTTTGCTTTTCTGGATTTAAATCAGAAACTATTTGAAAATAATTATTCTTGATTTTGGTTCTGGACCAAACCTGTGTCTTTACATGGTGTGAGTCCTGATCGGGTTCTACAGCCAAACCCTGCTGCTGCTCAGCACTATCTCTAGCTATTTTGCCTTGTTCATTTAAGCCTGGAAGTGAGTTTCCTTAGGCTCTAATATCAATGTGTTAACAGATAGCAAGTGTTGGGGTCATGATATATGCTTGTTGTGGGACATGACAGTGGTAAGCCTGCATCCCCACATGCCTTTTTACTGGTGGTTTCTTTTTTTATTACATTCTGTGCTCTGTAAAGTCACCCTTCAGGATTGCATTGTATCTCAGCCTCGGAGACACATAATGATAAGCACTATGTCTCAACAATAAAAATATATATTGTAGGGATTCATCCTATATTGGCAGGGGAATGGGCTCCCTGACCTACTCATAGGCCTTTCCGTTTCTAACGTCCATGATGCTATGAAGTCAGTGGACTTTAACTTCACAGTGGCATGTGTCAGAGAAGTGATGGAGCGAGAGAACAGACAAGCCCTTTTTCAGTTCACAGAACCCCAATTCTTTATTAATCACAGCTTGCTCACAATGACATACAGGAAAATAGCACTAATGAAGAGTAGAATATGCAGGCAGCAACCTCCAGGGGGTAGGGACAACTTCAAAACAGCAGCTATTTTAGGGATTATGTTAGGTTTGGTGATACCGTACTTGGCACAAGCACCCTGTCTAATTATTCCTGCTGCATCAGCCCTCTTTTTTTCTAGATGTCTTTAAAGTAGGTCAGGTTGACTAACACTGAAGAGGGCAGATCATGTTGAGTGGAAATCAGCAGTGTTTAAAAAAAAAAAAAAAAAATGCAACAACCAGCTCACGGGTTCCAGGTGGAAATACTCAGTAGCCTTTGTACTTTTACACGTGTAACACAGTAGCTTCAAATGAATATCATAGATCATGGCATCTACAGACAAAGCCACTTGATGTTGATTAATTGCGCCATCAATAAATCTTCAACTTGTGAATTAAGCTTGTGAGACAATTAGCATTTTTATGGCTGTTGTGTACCACTTAGGATTTTTCATAGCTAGCTGTTTATAATACTCAGCTTCTTAACTTTGGCTCAGATTGATGTCCCTTGCCTTCTTATCAGTAGCTCTTATTAAAAAAGCCATATTTGTTGCCTCTGATCTGATGAAGGCAGACAAAATAAACATTGCAAATAACAGTTTAATCTCCGGTTCATTTTAATGCTACAAAGGGTAGATGTAAATAAATTATGAACACACAATGTTTCCAGAGCTTTTTATCTGGACAGCTTCATGTGTCGTCACAATACCTGTGATCTAGTTATTGTTTTAACAGAGCTTATTGATTACAAAGCCTTCTGGGTTATTAGGCGATGACTGGTCTCTAGCACCATAGACCTACTATTAACCTCATTGTATGGTTAGAATTAAAATGGCAGGGAATGGAATTAGACATGGGCTGCTTCAAATGAACAGACCTAGCAAATTCAACTGAGTGGAAATAGACAACATCAAAAGCCTGTTACAGGACATGTAAGATTATGAAATAACTTGCATAATGCAATACTTGTATTTTTTAACAAAAATGTAAGTATTTACAAAATAAGATCCAAGTTTTTTTTTAAACATCAAGCAAATCATTCTGCAGAGAGACCATATTGTTTTTATTTTTGTTTTTGTTTTGTTTTTTATTGAGTTCTTGATTATTTTTTTTTTTATTTTTTTTAAACCATGTCATACATTTCCCATACTGATATCGCATGATCCGTAATAATATAGGCAGGGGAGTTTACTAATGGTGGGGAGGTGTCTCATCCACCGTTGCTTTTTTCAGCCAGACAGTTCAACCTGGAGCTCCTTGTTTCTACGGACCTCTGCAGCATGCCTCTCCTGGAAAACATCAAGAAGGGAAAGGTCAAACCTTGTCTTTGCTGCACCTGCCCAGGAAGATTCTTAATGGAAACCCCTTGCTCTCTGTGTACAGTTCCCCTGTGCATAGATAGAATAAGTAGAACAATCTTTTGGGGGTGCTGCTTATGAAGGGTGAAATTCACTAGTCCAGCACAAGGCCTATTCACTACTTTAAATTTGACTTAAGTCCTGTTTTGAGGTCTTAAGTAGGATTTAAGAGTGACGTAGCCCCTGTGGCATGCCCTCTGCACAGGAGGGAATTTCACCCTAAGGGTCCAATTCTTCTAGGTGCTGAATGCGCACAACTCCCATTGCTTCCCAAAATGTCACTGAAAAATTTAATCTCAGCCATGGTGAACTGGCTCTAGGTAATTACCTTCTTGCTAGCAGGTTACCATATCTTCGTGTGTGAGAGGTGGCTATTATTACTGTTCATATTACAGTAGTATGTAGGAGCTGCAGTTAAGGATTATGGCTCCATCAAGGTAGCCGGAGAGCTCACAATCTAGATGACAGGACACAACAGGAGGAAAACTAGACATCTATGATGGGGAAGGGTGCGGGAATGAGTAACAAAATGAGCAGAGTTGAGGAGAAAAGCAGAAATTGCAGATCATCATTTACCCTAACCAGTGCCAGCAGGAGAAATTTATAGGCATCATTTCAGAGGTAGCTTTTAAGGATAAGTTGTGGACATGAATCAGACCCGCAGTAGTGAGCTTCTGAGAACCCTGGACATCTTTGTCAGAAACAAGACACCAGTCATAAATGCACTCCATGGCTAGCTTGCAACTTTCACAGTAAAAAGGCAAGGAGAGACCTAACTATATTCTCAAAGGTCACAACTCATTGTGGTCTCATCCGAAGGAGCTGCTGACAGACTGAACCAGTCATCTGGATGAATCAGACTGCACATTAGCCAAAACGTTTCAACAGGAGAGTTTCCGGCAGAGAATGGTTCTCTGTCCTATGGCTGGGGACAATAACATACCTTCTATACGCCTAGAATAAGTCTTTGTGCCAATCTAGATGCTGCTGCAGGGGACAGACACCCAGCCACCTCCTTTGCAGCCTGTGTTTTTCTATAACTTTCAGAGACCACCATTATGCCTGGGCAATATCCAGGTATGAAACTCCTCAGGGTTCAGCAGGGACATGGGAGTTGAGAGCCCCCACTCACAACTGATACTAACCGTTAGTGAGTTAATGTCCACCCTGTTTGGAAGAGCTGGGGATTCAGATATGCCTCATCACTGTGAAGGAGACCACAAAGAACACTATCTCAAGGACAAGAGGCTTTGCAGCGGACATAGGCATGGGATAGCTCTTATATTGAAATCAGTGAGATCACCCAGAAGGGCAATCTGAGTATTCCAAAGACGAGGTTCAGCCAGTGGCAGATTTAGAGTTAGTGGGGCCCTGTGCTCAGCTTCATTTTTGGGGCCCCTCCTTGGGGCCCAGCCAAGAAAAAGAACATTCTCTCGTATCTCCTCCCCGCCCCCGTTTTTCATTCTTTTTTCCCCTTCATCCTCCTCCTATAAGTAATAGGAAGTAAATGAAAATAAACTGAGGTACCTGGATTGTTTTTGTAGTCAAACTTATTTTTCCACAGACCACTTGAAAATCACTGAGGATCTCGGCGGACCACTTAATGATCTTTCCAAATATTGTTTGTACCGTTCGCTAACTATTGGATAAAAGCGGTTTGGATGAAAGCGCTTTATAAAAAAAAATGTAAAAAAACATTGGGGTGCGGGATCTGGCCAGGACTTAGTGCGGGAGGGAGCTCAGGGCTGGGAGTGCAGAATCTGGGAGGAAGTTAGGGTGCAGTAGCAGGCTGGGGTTTGGGGTGCAGGATCTAGCCAGGATTTAAGGTGCAGGAGGGGGCTCAGGGCTGGGGCAGGGGATTGGGGTGTGGCGCTCCTGTCTGGTGCGAGGGGTGCAGGTGGGGGTGTGGGGGGGGGTGCAGGAGTCAGGGAGGACAGGGGGCTGGGTGTGTGTGAGAGAAGTGAAGGAGTCAGGGTTGGGGGTATGTGAGGGGGGTGCAGGAGTTAGGGAGGGCAGGTGGCTAGGAGTGTGAGAGGGGGTGCAGGAGTCAGGGCTGGATATGTGTGAGGGGGTGTGGGCTGGGGTCGTGGGGGTGCTCCCAGCCCCCTGCCTGAGCAGCTCACGGCAGGGGGCATGTGTAGGGGGAGTGCGGGGGCCACGCCTTTGCTCCGCCCTGCCCCGATTCCACCCCCTTCCCCAAGGGCCCGCCCCGTCTCTTCTCTGCCTCCTCCCCTGAGCACGCTGTGGCCCTGCTTCTCCCCTCCCTCCCGGAGCGCCGGCAAACAGCTGTTTGGTGGTAGCGGAAGCACTGGGAGGGAGAGGGAGGCGGAGGGGTGGGAACGCGGCACGCCTCGGGGAAGAGGCAGGGGAGGGGGGAGCTTGGCTGCTGGTGGGGGCGGAGCCTGCAGCAGGAACCCCAGGAGCCGGCAGGACCAAGCTTCTGCCCCCACAGCTGCCCAGCCCTGGGGCCCCCTGTTGTTGGGGGAGCCCAGTGCCAGGGCACCCTGTGTTTCACTGTAAATCTGCCTCTGGGTTGAGCGGATGGCCAGCCCTGCAGATTCTCCTAGAACTTCTAGGTAAAATGGCAGCTGTCTTCAAGGTTCACCTTTAGGCCTTTCTGTTCATCACTGGCCAATTTGTCTTCTCTTGGTCATTTCTGATTAGAATAATAACCATTAATGGCTGTAATACAAAGCTCTGTCCTAGTTAATTTTAGATTCATTGGCGCCACTGTAAATTTGGATACTCGTTACCATGGGCCTGTACTCAGAAACAACAGCTGTGGAATGAATTTGGGAAGCTTCCATCCAGAGTGTTTACAAAGCTGTATTTTTTCTGGCTGTTTAGCACGTATCTGGGGATTTTTTTTTCTTGCTGTCCTTTCATATAAACTAATGATCAGATTTTGATCTCATTCATGTATTTAGCTCTGAGAATATAATCTGAAAACTCAATGACAAACACAAAATGACAACAGCAACAAAGACCCATGGCCAACTGACTGCAAGTGAGGGTGCCTCCAGTGAGTGTCCTATGTGAGATTTATACGTCGTCATGTTCCTTTATGGGGACTGATCCAAAGCCCACTGCAGTCAATGTGAGTGTGTCCACTGGCTTCACTGGGCGTTGGAACAGGCCCATGGCAAACTTGTGTTGATCTCATTTGTAATTTGAAGGTCAAATTTTCATATGTGGCTTCTAATTTTGTGTGGCAAATGTTAAATGGCTAGGGCAGGGCTGATTTCCAGAGGCTGATCTCTTGCCGCTTCCACTGACTTCGGCATCCACAAGTGGCATCTGATTGCGGGAGCCTTTGAGCACCCAAAAATCGGGGCACTTACAATTAGAGGCCAGTTTTGAAGATTTTGGCCTCACTGTTTTATTTTTTTTCCCTCTTACATAGACATGGTCGGCATTTTGGGTGCTTGTGGGTTTGTTTTTTAAATCCCAAAGTTCTTAATTTTTGGTCTATCCACATTTCCTGCCTGGACTTCACCTCCAGTGGGGAGAAGGCAGCCTCTTCTCAGAAGCATTCCCTTGACTTCATGTATATGTCATCTACTTGCTCATCTGGATGGACTGTGACATAAAGGGACTTCCTTCTGACATCAGTCTAGAGCATGCAACTGCTCCTTTTGCCCTCCGTTTCCTTTCATTACCCCAAGGACAACTAACAGTCTTTTTCCTTTGAGTTGCTGGACTTTGGGATATGTGCATGCAAGCTTATTTAAAACACTGTCAAGGAGGTTAGGCACAATCCTGGGGCTCCCAGAGATTAGGTTGAAACAGCCTGTTACATCCTTCTTTAGGGTATAACACAGAATGCTGCCCTCTCTTTCTTGTCCAGCTCTGCTTCCTCATTTGACATCTCTGATGCTAATTATCTACTGTTAACAAGGTGAGATGGTGTAAGATGAATGTAAGATGGAGAAAAACGTAGATCTAAAATGGACATCCCTCCGCCTCAGGGACAACTGAGAGGTATATACACTTGTCTGCTGACATATTAGATGCTTCAGAATAGCAGCTTGTATTGCATCCCAACAGAGAAAAGTTATCATTCTCTGCAGAATAAGTTAAAAGGACTTTATCACATCTGGTTCCTTTTCCTGCGCTTTTGCTCTCCAGGCTGGAAGGGTTGCATTAGGAATGGTAGGTACACTCAGCCCCTGGGGATGTATATTGAAGGGGTCCAAAAGATAGATCTATCTCCCTCAATTAGGAGAGTGATTGCAACACAGTCCGTTATGGATGTACGTGGTTAAATATGAGACGAAATGATTTATTCCACATTGTTCATAAATCCCGCTTAGAAGCCAGAAATTAAACCTAAGCAACCTTTCTTTGGCATTTTTTCTGTCTTTGAACTTGGGGCCTTTGATTTCAAAAACACCGACTCTTTGCCCATAAGGGTAAAGGTGCAGTTTTCAGCCAGAAAAGGGAACAGATAAACAGGCCTGAGAGCATATCAGAATTGGATATAGTAGAGAACTAGCTGGTACAGTCTGAGAAGGAGGCCAAGATTTTTCAAAATATTAGTGATTTTGAGTTCTCAGCTTGTCACCTTAATGAGACATGGTTTTCAGAAAGCCCTGAGCAATCATCCTCTGAAGGTGCCTCAAGTTAAGGGATCTAAAAATGGAGTCACCCAAAATCACCAGTTACTTTTGAAAATTTTGACCAAAATTCTTGCTGCAGGCTGTGGTGTGGAGTCATGACCTGATTACCTTTTCTTGAAGACGTTCAATAAGAGCAGCTAAATTAGCTTCACGGTTTTCTTTGATCTGTTCCATTTTCAGTATCAGCTTTTCCTCTGCCATTTTGCTGAAGTTATTGTTCTCCTCCAAAGCCTTCTGAAGGACTTCTCGCTCATGCTCTCTCTTTTCTGCCAGATGTTTCAGCACCTGGGCCTCCTGGGACTGGGAAAAAAGACACATCCTGCTGAGGCAATAGTCTAGAGAATGTCAGAAGACAATGCATAAGGCAGTCTGAGTAAATAAAAAACACTAATAAGCAAGTCTTTGATTAGAAAGGGCCAAGTGCACTGAGTCTGGATTTTTGTGAGATCTGCTGTTTTGTTTTTTCTTGAAATGCTTGCTAAAACTAAGTTAATAAAATATATAGTAGAGTAAGAAATAAATAAATTTATTTATAGTGGCAATAGATCTAAGGGACATTCTGGAAAAACTCTGTTTTCCCCCACATCTGTTATAAGCAAGGCCCATTTCAATAACTGAGATATGAAGACACTGAATATATGTGAGGAATTCAAATAAGGAAACATCTGAAAGAGAGTATGAATTCTGGATTAGTATGGCTACCATGTGACACTGTCTGTACCTGCCTTAAATATTTCAGTGGTAAGAGATGCAGTCATTTATGCATGAACATTTTATTTCAAAATTATATGGGATTTCAGTCTAAAAATATGTACTCTTTTATAATTGGGCTTCAGAAACAAGAGCTATGAATTTTTTGTTTTCCTCAAGCTATTTTTGTTGAAATGGTCACAGATAGACTTTCAAGTTAACATTCCCTTGAGATGAATGTAGGAAGTTCAGATCTGATCTGGCTCCACTTTGTTTCTGTAAACAGGAAGAAGGTTATTTTTCCAAACAAAAGGCCTAAAAAATTTTTTTTTTTAAATTGAAAGCTTAAATTATGCAAAGACCATGAAATCTACAGAGGATCTTAAATGCATGCAATCTGCACCCTGTATCCTAGTACCCTTATTTATGAGCACAATTGCCAGAAACATGAGCTTTGCTGTTAGTTTAGAATTATGTTTAGGACACTGAAGTTCACTTAAAACAAAATGAAACCATTGATCTTCTGACGTAAGCCAACGAGGTTGCAATGTTAAGACCGTTCCAGGATCAACTCAAGTCCAAAGAAAATATATTTAAGGGGAATATTTGGAAATTATGAGCGACACTGTGGACTATTCTATAAAATGAACCAGAGGGAGGAAGATGGAAGAATGGAGGAAAGGAATGAAATGCGGTAGCAGCCTGATATGTGCAGATTTCAGTGAAGGTTACCACCATTTTGTGTGTAAACACATTAGAATCATAAAATTTAAGGCCAGAAGAGACCACCAGATCATCTAGTCTGGCCTCCAGTATATCACAGGCCACAAACACCACCCAGCACCTGCACACTAAACCCAACAATAAAATTAGACCAACATATATAGCCCACATTTTAGGGGCTAAATTGAGAGTTTTCACCAATAATTACAAATTGCAGTAATGAATGCTATTTCCTGTAAACCTCCTTGTAGTCACTGAAGTGAAGTGAAAGCACTGAAATTCTCTCACACAAGATAAAGGGTGCTGTAATAAGATTAAAAAGAAAATTCTGATAACAGCGATGAGCTACACAGAAAACAAAGATTGCTGACCAGAGAAATAGAGCAGATTCCAAAAAATGCAGCAGAACTCATACTGGTGGCTCTTCACAAACTGCAGCAAGGCACTGAGGTAAGAAATGTTCAGCTTTGGAAAGGAACAAATGGCCTGTTTCAGATTAAAGAGGAAACCTACTGTCAAGGCTGCTTCCCCACTTTGAATTTTAGGCTACAAATGTGGGGGCCTGCATGAAAACTTCTAAGCTTAACTACCAGCTTAGATCTGGTCCACTGCCACCATTCCCAAAGCTAATTCCCTTCCCTGGGAAGCCTTGAGAAACCTTTCACCAATTCCCTGGTGAATACAGATCCAAACCCCTTGGATCTTAAAACAACGAGAAATTAACCACCCCCCCTCCTTCCTTTCACCAACTCCTGGTGAATACAGATCCAACCCCCTTGGATCTTAAAACAAGGAGACATTAACCATCCCCTCGCCTTCCTTTCACCAACTCCTGGTGAATACAGATCCAACCACCTTGGATCTAAAACAAGGAAAAATCAATCAGGTTCTTAAAAAGAAGGCTTTTAATTAAAGAAAAAGGTAAAAATTATCTCTGTAAAATCAGTATGGAAAATAACTTTACAGGGTAATCAAACTTAAAGCGCTCAGAGGACCCCCCTCTAGTCTCAGGTTCAAAGTACAGCAAACAAAGATAAACACTCTAGTAAAAGGTACATTTACAAGTTGAGAAAACAAAGATAAAAACTAACACGCCTTGCCTGGCTGTTTACTTACAAGTTTGAAATATGAGAGACTTGTTTAGACAGATGTGGAGAACCTGGATTGATATCTGGTCCCTCTCAGTCCCAAGAGCGAACAACCACCAAACAAAGAGCACAAACAAAAGCCTTCCCCTCCCCCCCCCAAGATTTGAAAGTATCTTGTCCCCTTATTGGTCCTTTGGGTCAAGTGTCAGCCAGGTTACCCGAGCTTCTTAACCCTTTACAGGTAAAAGGATTTTGGAGTCTCTGGCCAGGAGGGATTTTATAGTACTGTACACAGGAGAGCTGTTACCCTTCCCTTTATAGTTATGACACCTACACTGATGAACTTCTGCCATGTGTGGTCTGTATGCTTTCATCTCTGGCATGGTTTCATGGACGTGCCTAAAGCAGAGGCGCTCAAACCATGGTCCTCAGAGCACTCACTGGTGGTGCATGGTGAGTTGGCTGGGTACATAGCTAATACTCCTCCTTGTTTTCCCCCTGCTAAATCAGGTGCTGAGAGCTAACATCGTATTAAATCTTTTCCAAATATTAACTTCCATGTAAGAAACCACTGTAGAGGCCAGAATTTCAGATGAAACAAAGTGGTGTGGGCAATCACAAACAGAAGGGGAAGTGATCCACATGGCCATGACCAGGAGTAAAGGTAATTTGTGTGACCGTGTCTCCCTTAAAATGTGGCCCACTCTCTGAAGAATTTTGAGCACCCCTTACCTTAAAGGACCAGTACCTCCTTTTTGTATAAGAAGTGATTTCTGATGACTATTTCCGTAGAAAAAATACTATAGTATTAAACAATAATTTCCCCTACACTACGGATGGTGTTGTAGTTGAAGATTTAATAATTTGAGAGATAAAAGTTTCATGAGGATTAAAAACATGCAAGTGCTCATAACCAAATGTACCCCATTATCTATTAATTCAATCAAACAATTCCCCTGAAATAAAACAGCAGATATTCTGAGATATCCAGGGCTATTTAGAAGATATATTTGAAAACCAGCTTTTGCACTGTGGTTCTGGGTAAAGTTTTCAAAATAAATCCCATTGGCTTTCAATGGTATTTAGGCGTCTTAGCCACTTTAGTTACTTTTGAAAATGTTGCCCATTTCTCAAGCTGTGTTGTCATGCATGCAAATCCCTTACAGTTTAAAAACATAATTTTTATTGGCATAGGTTGAATTTTATAGTAAAGATTTTGAATTCCATAGTAAAGTATACAGAGTTCTAGGAGGTGAGATACCACATTGGCACCAATAGGAGTTTACCTGATTAAAAATTGAACAGGGCCTTGTATTGTTACAATTGAACAGGGCCTTGTTAGTCTGGGTATTTGTCATATATTGTACATTATGAAGAGTTCTGATCTCTCAATATAAATGGCCTAGGTATGTTTATAAACTCTTCCATAAATACCCCAGGATTTAGCAACCTGGAGTGGGACAGGAATTTGAATGGACGATTTCCATTGTGAGATGAACACTAGTCTAGCTACAAGAAGTGGCTGGTGCTAAATAAATGGAAAAGAACAGGGGTAGAGCCTCAGCTAATGTAAATTTTTCCATTGACTTCTGTTTTACAGCAGCTGTGAATCTGGCCTTCAATGGTCCGATCACCATCACAGCCTAATAAAGCAAGACTTGGAGTGAAGCCAAATTGTTTTTCGCACTGTAATGGTGGAATGGTATCTGCCTCAAAAACATTTGGCAAAAGAACATTTTCTCCATGTCTGAACAAAGTCTGCCGCACATGTTGAAGGCACTAAGGCAGTGGTGGGCAGGGACGTGCTGGCCGCCACTTCCCACAGCTCTCATTGGCTGGAACAGTGAACCGCAGCCACTGAGAGCTGCGGGCAGCCATGCCAGTGGACGGTCAATGTAAACAAACTGTCTCATGGCCCGCCAGCGGATTACCCTGATGGGCCGCGTGCCACAGGTTGCCCACCACTGAGCTAAAGAATGATTACTAACATGACTGTGATTAGCAAACCAGCTCCTTAGTTACTTCTCTTGGAATTCAGATGCTGTGCTGGGGTTCCAAAAGTAACATACACATAATTCCAATAGAAAGTCTGTAGTTTACATAATTTGTCTCTTCCTATGTATATTACTGTACACATTTTTGGCTATTATTATTATGATTATTTATTAATTTATGCCTGGGATTATTATTAATTCCCAGACATAACATTCCACACTAGAGCACAAACAAGTTTCTCGCACACTTATAAATGTCATAAGATGACCATGCTGGGTCAGACTAATGGTCCATCTAGCCCAGTATCCTGTCTTCCGACAGTGCCTGGTGCCAGATGTTTCAGAGAGAGTGAACAGGGCAATAATCAAGTTAGCCCTCCGGTCATCCAGTCCCAGTTTCTGGCAGTCAGAGGTTTAGAGACACCCAGAGCACGGGGATGCATCCCTGATCATCTTGGCTACTAGCCATTAATGGACTTATCATCATGAATTTGTGTAATTCTCTTCTGAATCCAGTTATACTTTTGGCCTTTGCAACATCCCCAGGCAATGTGTTTAATCTCTGGTGCCTATTCACTTCATTGGGTGACCCCTAATTCTTGCGCTATGTGAAGGGATAAATAACACATCCTTATTTATTGTCTCCACACCATTCCTGATTTTATAGACCTTGATCTGGAAGCTGTTCCAAGCCCCTCATCATTTGTGTTGCCCTTCTCTGTTCTTTTTCCAGTCCTGACATATCTTTTTTGAGATGGGGTGACCAGAACTGCACACAGTATTCAAGGTGTGGGCATACCATAGA